TATTAGAGTAGATGATCTTTTAAGAGTAAGTTAACGGAAATTTTGGTCAAAATAAAAATATAATCTTTAAAAAAAATTTAATTAATGGTATAACTTTTTTTAATTAATTAAAATTATTACTTTTAAAAAATTTTAATTAAAAATAAAAACAATGGATTAGCTTAATAAAGGGAGAGATTGAGAGTTTAGGAAATCAAATTCAAATCGAATTCCGATCAATGGGACTTGCCTGACCACCCAATCTATGGATTAGCAAATTGAAAGAGGAAGAGATCGAGAGGAGTTTGGGAGGATTTCATGCGTTTTGTTTTTATATACTTATTATATTAAGATTTTAGTTAAGAATTACTTAATCCTTAATTATCTAAATTAATAACAATTTTTTTTTTTACAGGCCATGCATTTTGCCCCATTGCAAAGTCTATGTATTTCCAGGTGGTTATATATTTACCGTTATTATTATTATTTTTTTAACATTGAAACTTTTGAGAGAGGAGGAATTTTTTTTTTTTTTTCAAAACGGTTGGTTATATCAAATTTTTTACTAATTACACTTAGATCTAATTATATCTTTATCGTTATTTAACAGGTCACTTCAATAAAAATTTAAGAAAAAAATTTATTTTAAAGTTAAATTTAAAAATCTTAAAAATTAATTTAAAATGTTCATATAATAGTTAAACAAATCTAAGTTAAGAAATTTTCTTTAGATTACGTATAAAAAAAAAAACCCAATCATCAGATGTTGCTTGGACGTCAAAGCGAGTGGCCATAGCATTTTTGTCCGATAGCAGTAATTCTTAACTTCTATTTTTTTTTTTTTCCATTTTTTAATTTTCTTCACCTTATCATTTTTTTTTTTTTTGAACGGTTTTATCGAATCACCCATGAGGGATGTGCACTTTTTTAATGGCTCTAGCTACTGGCCTACACGGGCCAAGTGAACCTTATCGTTGATAACGTGGCAACACAAATTAGCCACCAAACCAACAATTATGGATATAAAAAGCCACAGCTAACAGCACCACAGCACTGCCCACTACAGACAGTTTTTGATTGTGGAGAATAATGGCGGAGGAGGAGCAGAATAAGCTTAAAGGATATGGCGGAGGAGGAGCAGTAAAGGGGATGGTGGAGGTGAATCCTCAGCCGCAGAAAGGATTGACGTCCAAGCTAATTGACTGGGTGGAGAAGCTGATCGTCAAGTTAATGTACTATCCTCAGCCTCTCCATTACCTATCCGGTAATTTTGCTCCGGTTGATGAAACCCCTCCCACCACCGACCTCATCGTCAAAGGCTATCTTCCTGTAAGCACACACTTCATTAAACAGTCTGTCTGGCAGCACTAATTAATGTGAATTTAGAGTCTGTTTGGTAGCTAGCTTGGAAACTTTTCAGAAAATAAAGAGTATCAGATCCCTTGTATTTTCCTTCTGATTTTCTTTATAGTTTAATTCTGCTGCTTGAAGCAATACAAGATTAGATTCACCTTTTTTTTCCACAGCTTATTGAGGTTGAGCTAAGTTTAATTATATGGATTTGATGCTATTATATCTCAACTATGGATATTTATTTTGTAAAACTGTAATACCTTTCATCATATTCAGGAATGTTTGAACGGCGAGTTTGTAAGAGTGGGTCCGAACCCCAAGTTTGCTCCTGTTGCTGGATATCACTGGTATTTCCTATTTCTTGAAGCTGTCTCTGTCTAGTTATTTGGCTTCTTGTGAATTGAGTGACTAATTTGCTAACTCATTTTTATTTACGTTTCCGCAGGTTTGATGGAGATGGGTAGGTGTTTTATCTTTCTTAATCTTTTTGATGAAAATATGTATTTCATTGGTCAAACGTGGAATATATCATCCACAGTTTCTTACTCTTAGTTAAATTTGCAATAGTAGTTAATTAATCAGTGAAATTTCTGTTCAGATTTTCACCTAGTTTACTAAATAGTAGTAGTAAAACTGTCTCCTAAGTGCAAGAGGTCTTTATGTTGTGGTAACACAACATCACTGCTTGTCCTGTTGTGTCGTGAAATCTTTTACTTTGATGTATTAGTATCCAGATTTAAGTGCTTGCTCATAGTAACTGAATCTCAACTTAATGAAATTGTATTACTTTGATGGTAATCTATGGTAAATTGGCAGCATGGTTCATGGGGTGCGCATCAAAGATGGTAAGGCAACTTATGTCTCTCGTTTTGTGACGACATCACGTCTTAAACAAGAAGAGTTTTTTGGAGGTGCTAAATTTATGAAGGTATTAGCCAAATAACTTTTGATTGATTTCTTCCTTTTCTCTTTATTATCAATCTAGCTGCTTGGTTCAAGTGAATGAGTTTTCTGGTCACAATTCTAGTATTCATTGTGCCATACCATTGATAAAGACACATGCATCAAAGTTTTGGGAGTTGCTGAACTGCAAAATTGTTCAACTAGCTATACTTTCAAGTTCTTTGGGCTGGAACTTTTCTGCAGTGTTTACCTTAGAATATCTAAAGTTCAAAGTGGCATGAGCTGGCTATACTTTCAAGTTCCTTGTCAAGTGTCGGTTATTGTCCTTTCTTTCATATCTGTTGTGGATATATCATTTTCCTTTCTTGGTATCTCACATGCAGATTGGAGACCTTAAAGGGCTATTTGGATTACTCATGGTTAACATGCAAATGCTGAGAGGAAAAACAAAAGTGTTGGATCTTTCATATGGACAAGGGACAGGTAAGTTACATTTTGGTGTGCTTGAGCTGAAAGCAAGAGTAGTCTTCTGATTGAGAATTGTACATTTTAGCTAATTTGTCTACATACAAGCCTCTATGTCATGCCCATGCATGATATTTTTGCTTCATGTGCTCTGATATTTGCGGTTGTGCAGAAATAAGCCTTGTAAATGCCTTGTCCACAAAATCCTCAAATGACCCAAAAGACATGGGTAGATGGGATGTCGCATTTTGATTTTCTTAGTTGTTTCTGCACCTGTTGAAATGACATCACGTGAATCCCTCTATTGATTTGACATATCCATTGAAAATCTACTTCTCCATATTCATTCTGTCCAGAATAACCATGAAAGACAGTTTTCTATGGCTTTGTTTTTTATGTCTAACAGGGAAATACCTTCTCTCTTTTATGAGAATTGGAATTTCTAACTCTTGTGTAGCTGTCTTCCAGGTAATACAGCCCTCATATATCATCATGGAAAACTTCTTGCACTTTCTGAAGCTGATAAACCTTGTAAGCCAGTCTTTTGTCTTTCTAATTTCTTTGACTAGAGACTAGAAAGTTTTATGGAGACTAAAGAAACTAGCGACACATTATCATGTGATAGCTGGGAACTGGAATGTAATATTTCACTAGGCATTTTTATCCTCTTTGTTTATGGAAGGGCACACATATGTCTCTACATGAAATAATTTTACAATAACTGTTTGCCCTTAGTGGGAGTTAATTTATTTTACCCGTTCTATTTCTAGATGTCCTCAAAGTTCTGGAAGATGGAGATCTTCAAACTCTTGGCATGATGGATTATGACAAGAGATTGGGGCATTCCTTCACTGCCCATCCCAAAGTTGATCCAGTAACTGGTAAGATCTATCAGTAAAGAAAGGTATTCTGAATACTATTTTGGGAAAAGGAAAAAAAATATGTTTTGGTTTATGACATTTCTGGATGCAGGTGAAATGTTTACCTTTGGCTATTCACATACTCCACCTTATATCACATACAGAGTTATTTCGAAGGATGGTTTTATGCATGATCCAGTTCCAATAACCATATCTGACCCAATCATGATGCATGACTTTGCTATTACTGAGAATTATGCAATTTTTATGGATCTTCCCCTTTATTTCAGACCAAAGGTATGCCTGCCTCTAAGTTCTTGCCGCACAACAGTTTTGAAATATTATAGATTGATGGGTCAATAGAGTTTAAATTTTGCAGTGGCTTTTTGAATGAATGCAATGGGTGACAAGACTGGATACTTGTATGATTAAAGTATACGAAAAAGTTGTGCTAAAGTATTATCTTAATCATTGTGGTTAGCACTCAACGTCCGAACATAAAAAACTGTTAACATACAGAATTCATGGGTGTGAGGCAAATTACAGATTTTCGTTTGTTTATTTGCATTGGTTAGACAATGTTAATGTTCAAAGCTTTCTGTAGTCTTGGGTGTTGATTTCTTCCAAACCATTCCTAGGACTTTATGAATTAGTTTATATTCATGCTGTGCTGACTGCAGAATGATGATGATTGATGGTTGATTTCCCTTTGAAAACTCTTGTTGGCTACTGTAAATAATCTTTGGATATTGACATAACAGAATAATAGTTTAGCATCACTGCTCTTGCCCATCATGATGTTATGTATTCCTGAGATTTAAATTTACAGGACATGGTTAAAGAAAAGAAGCTGATTTTCACATTTGATGAAACAAAAAAAGCTCGTTTTGGTGTCCTTCCACGGTATGCAAAGGATGATCTTCTAATCAGATGGTTTGAGCTTCCAAATTGCTTTATATTCCACAATGGTGCGTGCAGCTTTCTTTTTACAGCTATTTGCACACTAAATAGTTTACTTGTTGGAATTGATTTTACTTATGAAGATCAAAATCAAGTTCACTGCTAGCTAATGCATCAAAGTTGGATATTTGGGACTTTCCAATTACAGATCTTCTAAAATGATGGATCCCTTCACCAGCTAAGGAGCAGTTAGGTTTGAATGAGTATAGTTATGGGGCTTGTCTAGTACATCAAATATCTCTATTCTCATTAATGACTTTTCTTTGCTATAGTACTGTAAGGAGTAAGGACTAACGCCAGGGTTAATGTTAACTATCTTTCCTAGATAAGAAAAAGTACATCCATGACATGGAAAAGGTGGGAGGAGGAGGAAATTTCTTCTGGGTGTTGTTTACTTTTGGTCGATGCCTTTCTTGATGAAATTCTAAAAGAAGCAGCATCTATAGTTGACAAGTAACCTATTGCTTAAATTATGTCTTATTCAGTTCCCTACATTCTGACCTATTTCATGACTTCTTTTTTTCTAGCCAATGCTTGGGAGGAGGGTGATGAGGTTGTCCTAATCACTTGCCGCCTTACACATCCAGATTTAGACATGATAAGTGGAGCTGACAAAGGAAAGCTTGGAACTTTCACAAATGAGCTGTATGAACTCAGATTGCTTAACATGAATTTACAAAAAGGTCTTCATATTGCGAAGGTAGCCCTGATTTTTATTATTTGCATAGGTATGAGATGCGGTTCAACATGAAATCCGGTTTTGCTTCGCAAAAGAAACTATCAGAATCTGCTGTCGACTTCCCTAGGGTGAATGAGTGCTATACTGGCAGGTAATTGTCTGTTATTTTCTTGGTAAAAAATTAACACTCTGATATTATAAAAGTATTTTGTTTTTCTCAACTTCATCCTTTAGTTAAACTTTACTTGTTGCTTGTCTTCCAAAAATTTAGAAAACAAAGATACGTGTATGGAACTATTCTGGACGAGATTGCAAAGGTTACAGGGGTTGTCAAATTTGATCTGCATGCTGAGCCAGAGCCAGGAAAAGCAAAGATTGAAGTTGGAGGGAATGTTAAAGGTTTATTTGACCTTGGTGCTGGTAGATTTGGTTCGGAGGCTATTTTTGTGCCTCGTGAACCAGGTACAACTTCTGAAGAGGATGATGGCTACCTGATATTCTTTGTACATGATGAGAATACCGGGTATGTGTTTGTACATGATGTCAAGACTTGTTTGAAATTTCTTCACCTTGTGAAATAGAAGATATGAATTCTGAAAATTTCCATTTTCTGACTGAGCAGAAAATCATCCGTGTGTGTACTTGATGCAAAAACAATGTCACGTGATCCTGTTGCGGTTGTTGATTTACCGCACCGAGTCCCATATGGTTTCCACGCCTTCTTTGTAACAGAGGTTAGTTTACCATCTTTTCCACAAACTAAATTCTTTTAAAGGGACCCAAGCTAAGTTGGTTACATTTTAGGATCTCCCTCAAGGAGAAATGTGTATTCCCACTTTCTATATTCTTCTTGGTATAAAATCCCACGGATAAAACCTTGCTCCCACATTCTGGTGTTAAATCTCAGGGATAAGATCTGTTGGTTTAGACAGTATGGTTCTCCCTTTACCAAGGTAGAATAGAATTGTTGTGATTATCTCAGTTATACCCTTACGCTATATGCCAAATATTGATTTTGTTTCTATGATAGGCAGTCAAATACAATTCATATAATTTTTGTTGTTCCTTTTAGCAGGAACATTGTCCTTGTCTCATTCTCCCTGAAATATAGCAATTCATGTTTCATTATAATTTGTTATGACTTTGAATCTAACTTTGCTTGTTATTGATCAGGAACAACTCCGAGAACAAGCAAAACTATCATAATCATGTCAAGAATTCGAAGACAGATAATTTTAGGTTCAATAAACTGTAAGAGCGTATTTAGCTGGGAGCCCGCCACCATAGACTGGTAAATTGTGTTATATCTAGATTGCACTGCCAGCATTCATACCCATGTTGCATATCCACAAGATTGTAATAAACTATGAAGAAGTGGTTATCTTGGTTCTTTTGCTTGTTTACGAGCTGTCTATATGTATCTGGATGAAAATCATTATCTTCTCTGAAAATTCACACAAACTAGACTTCGAAGATTTTAATATCAAATGCCACAAGATTTATATTCCTTCAACCATTGTGTAATTTTTACAAATTCCAACTTTGGGCTTGATTTTGCTGCTTCCATGTCATCTGCATACTACATTCTGAGAAGAAGGAAGTTTTCTTCACTAACAGCTGAATGGGATTTTTTTTTTTTTTGGTCGGGGGCTGGGGGGATGTAAAAGGAGTGGAGATGAGAACTATATCTAAACACTGTAGAAAGGAGTTCTATCAAAAAAGGAAAAAAAAAAGAAAAGAAAGAAAAACAGGGTAGAAAAGGGTAACCATAACATGTAAATCTAAGATTTTGAATAATTGAAATTAATCCTGATAATTTTTTCTATTATTAATGAAATTTTCTTGTTTGGACTTTGAAGGGTAAAAAGAAAACATACATACCTAATTAATTGAAACTGGGGAAACCATGTTTACATAAAGATGAGAACAAAGCTTAATATCTACATGGCGAGAGAGAAGAAGAAGAAAAATTGAAAACGAAAAAGTGTTTTACAGTGCAGACTGTAAAACGAAACAACGGATTCAATTGGAAAATCGTAAAATCAGGGAATAATATGGAGAAACAGGATCCCTCAGCAAAAGTTGCCTAACATCAACATGGCATGAAACATGGTTCCTCAACCTCCGCTGTAGATGCAAAAGGGAGCACCACCATTTTCAGGCGTTTCATGCACAAATTCTGATTACTAAAATTTTCATCATCGGGAAGGAAATGAAACCTTAAAATGAAAACGAACAAAACAGCTAGATTGTGCTCTTTGATGTTGCTGTCTATTCTTCTGCACAAACGAAAAAAAAAAAAAAGAAAAAGAAATGGTTGTGCTGTATCCCATGACATGATATCAACGAAACTGCATTCATCACATAACGAACAGAACCCTGAAATAAGACAACAAGAGATGGACGGAATTCGCAGACCCAATTTTCAGAGAGTCGTAGACGGCAACGGGAGAGACGAAATACTAGGGTTTTAGAATTTAGAATTCTTCCTTTTGGGACCGAACCAAAACCCTATGACTACTAATAAATAGCCTTATTATATTTTTTGGACCTGGGTTGCATCGTGGGTTTTGTTGGCCTTACTCTTTGGACCTGAGCAGTAATAGGCCCAATTTAAGATGAGGATTAAAAAGGCCTAATAGTGATTTTGGTTTTTGGCCCACGTAATGTTATACTGGAGTAAAAAGTCCGGCAAAACCATAAGTTAAGCCCCTGAACTAACCCAATAATTGCTATTAAGCCCCCAGACTTTAATTGAAGCATTTAAACCCCTGAACTATGCAATAGAAGCAATTTAGGCTATTTAGCTCTTACTCTCGTAGCCAACTTAA